ACAACATGTTTGCAATGTTGTCGCGATCTCCGCTCGAAAATGCGGCAGTCTTACGCGAAAAGGAAACTAACACCTCGGCACTCGTGTAGCCTGAAATTGATGAGCGAGGGAGCAACTTTGGTTTGCGACATTCACGGGTAACTCATTCTGGACAAGCCGGAAAACATCGCCGTGTTATTCGACGAATCGCGGATGATGCATGCACATTTGTCGCACATCGCCGTCAGTACAGTCACCAAACTGATAAGCGGCCTCGCGGCAGACGAGCACACGGCGACAACTTGCGACAGGACTAGAAGAAACAACACGCTCGTGCAAAAAATCAGTCCTATTACATTCCCGGTGCATATTAACTGACTAAAGGTATGTGTGCCATGATACTTTTCCCTCGGAACGGCGAAATAAAAATTTAACAGCATTATTCTCGAAGCACAGATTTTGACAACTTTCTTTTGCTTGCTCGGTAAAAGTGGACCTAGGACAGCTAGAGCTGTAATTGTTTTTGCACAATGTAGCTAAATGTGCACAAAAACAATCCTAGGAGCCTATTTTTAATGGGCAGCTTCATTTTTTTAATTTTAATATAAAAATTTCTGTATTTGGTTTCATGCAATGAACTTTACTGTGCTGTAATTCGAGAAGTACTCGTTCAATTTTCAATCAGCTTGCAGTGTTGCACTCCTTAAGCTTTCTAGCATTCATTTATATGTCGATGGCTATGTAATTCTAAGTACATACATTTTTACAGTTAAAATGTTAGAACTTCTCGTTTTCTTCATTTTCTCAAAATGGCAATTTTGTACACCCTGCATGAAAATTACTGCAATATATCAAAAACTATTACAGATAGCAGAATTTTTTTTTTTTTTTTTTTGCAGCATGAAGCTATATGTTTGGAGCACACAACATAGGAAGCAGATTTTGATTTCTCTTGATGCAAGTTTTTTAAACTTGTCTTTTGTGTGACCACACAATGACCACATTCAGAGCTGGGAAGTTTAGTGTACTGCAAGAAATAATGACCCAATCAAAAAAGTGCTTCCTATGTAGAATGTCTTATGCTTTCTACTGTCAATCCCTATGTCATTTGTAAATTTTAGACAGGTGATTATTTTTCTATTGTGGTAAGAACAATATAAATTGTTATCTTGATTATTTAATTAACTAATGAAGCTACAGAAAAAATAACTACATTTTTAGAATCAGGAGAACAAACTAAGTAAGCATGCCAACTTTTGTCACATTTGGTTCAAAAGTAAATCAGAGAGCCCCAAGACCCCTGTCCCCCCTTAAAGGGGCAACGCTGCCAGTGTTATACGAAGCCAACAAAAAGGCATGGGTAAGGCAGCAGTTGTTCGCGAGTTACATCCGCAAGTTGGACACGAAGTTTGAACAACAGAACAGACGTGTTTTGCTCTTCGTTAACAACTGCGCTGCTCATGGTCACATCAATAACTTGAAGGCTATCCAGCTGGAATTAATGCCGCCCAACACGACTGCGATCCTCCAACCGATGGACCAGGGCGTTATCCGTAATATGAAACTTTTGTACCGTTCATGTATACACAACCGCATGGTGCTGTGCTTGGAAAACGGGAAAGGCTACAGCGTTGACCATCGGTCTGCTGTTGGAATGCTTGCGGACGCATGCAAGGCAGTAACGCAAGACATGCTTCGCAACTGCTTTCACCACGCGGGCTTCGTACTCAACACAGAGGCAGCAGACGTGCCTGAAGAAAGCGACAGCGTGACTGACTTGTGCCCTCTCATGAACGATATTATCAACGACCTCCGCTCTGCTGGTGCTTCTAAGCCCACAGAAATAACTTTCGAGCGGTTCGTCGACGCTGACAACGAGCTCGACTTCTGCGCAGAGCTAACCAACGACGAAATAGTCAGTCAGGTTATGGCGGATTCAGACGACTCCGATGTCGAAAATGAGGAACCAGCGCCTGCGCCACCTACGACCGCCGAATTGATGCGAGCATTGATGACGCTGTCATCGGTGTACAGTGATGACATGACCCTTGCTCAGATCGAGGCGAATGTGATCACATGCAAGCGGAACACCGTTCAAACAAGGACAAGGATCAACAAGTTTTTCAAGCCACTGCAGCTCTAACACCAGCTGCCCTGACAGCACCCGCTGTCAGCTGCATGCATTTTTTTTAACAGCTCTTTTCAGAGCCACCCCACTGATGCTTTGGCAGAGTTCCGGAAGTCTGGTACTTCGACCTTGACCTTTTTGATCCGAGAAATATCAATGAAATGGTGCGTTTTTTGCTTGCATTGAGAAATATTAGCAAAATGGTGCGTTTTTTTTTGTTTGCATTGAAAATTATCAGTAAGACATTGCATTTTTTTTTTTTTTTGCTTGCATTCATTTTTTCGTACTGCCCGAATTTTCGGACGGTTTTTCGCTCCCTAGAGGGTCCGAAAAAACGGCAGTTGACTGTATTGTGGGAGTGCTAACACCTCCTGTAAAGTTGTTTGTGCCTCGTGGCGCACGTTTTTCGCGCATAGGCCGCATTTCGGGTTCACAAACTATCGAGCGGTAGGTGGCGTTGTGCTCGCAAGCGTTTATCACCACCACCATCATCATCATGGTTGTTAGAACGGTAGCACCGGCGGTGACGCCTGGCAGCAAGCCTGGGTGGCGGCACACAAGAAAGAATCAGGTCTCTTTGGCGGGTGGCAGCTGGCAGAACGGTTGTCTGTAGCAGTGGGTCCCCTGTGCGCCGGGGGCCCTCGTGGTAAATCAAGCGTTGGCGAAGCCGCCTTGAGTGTGTTCTTGGGTTTGTTACGTTGTTGACCATTGTATAATATTGTGTAAGGTTGTTAAGCATGTGGATCGAAATTGATCTATAGTAATTTGGCTGATGATACCGACGATCTAAAAGTAATTAAATAAACGTGTGTTGTTTGGTTTGTTCCAACCACGTCTACTGTGTTCGTTCACTCCAAGAGTGTGGTGCTTCCACTTCAGACCCCACACTATCATGCCAAGTTACCATGATAAGCAGCAGCTCTGGGATCTTAAAATGAGAGGGGGCACCAGTTCATGCCACTCCCACTTAAATGAGTCGTCTGGGCACCATTATGCAGTCTTTAGATGAGAAAACAATCAACAATCAGCCCAAGAGGAAGACAGTGTGACAAACACAACTCAACATGAGAACCGTGCCAATGCAGTGTTTTCACATTGCACAGATTTCCATCCTCAACGCAAAACTTCAAGCTTTGCCGCCAGTGGTAATCAACAGGAAAAACTACGAGCCCAGTATAAGTGTATGGGCAAGCACATTTACTGAGTGTAATCAAGTGTAACACCAGCTACTTCCCTTTATAGCAGTAATCTGCATGCAGTATGCCTAAAGCATGGGGCCCCAAATCATTGCCGTACTCTTTCGCAGGCTGCATGCCCCAATAATGGGATAACAGGAGATATTTCGACTCATGCGTGGCATGCAGACACTGCGCACGTTTACTATAAATACCATAGAGTTTCTCAAAATTAACTAGAGGGCACTCTGGCGCTGCGATCGTTCAGCGACCATCGGAATGATGGGTAGTACACACATTTGCCTAGTTTTCGTACTTGCGGGAGGCGAATCGTACTTGCGGCTTCGTTTATTGCTGTGTTTCGGTTTTGTTTTGAAAGAAAGATTGAATGCTTTTGAACTTCGTAAGCCAATTTGGAAAGTAAGTCTAAAAAAATAAAATGGTGAAGCGCAACCACTAAACATTTGCTAATACTTGTTTCGTAAGAAAACAGCTCCAAGCCACACAAACACACACGGAGCCAAAGGCAGGCCAGAAGTACGAATATTAGACTAGAGTATAAAGTTGGGCATGTTGGTAAGACATACTTAATCAACGTAGCGCGTTTTAAAACTTAGGACAGGGGAAGGGACAGAAGGGAGCGCTTACTTCCAACAAAATTTTATTTCGAGGAGCGTACGTATATATGCTCATGAAATTCGAAAACAACAGACAAACAGATGAAAAACCCTCTACTGCCATGCGCTAAAAACGTATGATCTGAAAAACGACAATTCTTTTTCACAAAGACCGAGAGAAGGATTGCTGACGTAGTTCAGCCCTAATCTACTAATCCTTTCTGCTTCAATAATCTCCCTTGATGGGTGTACTACCCATCATTCCCATGCTCGCTGAAGCGCCGTGCATTGCAGCTCCCATAGACACTAGCGCCGGAGTTCCCTCTAGTAAGTATTGTGGGAAACTATGATAAATACTACCGCGTACTGGTGCAATGAGAAGAAACGTGAACAGTGGAAAGCGTAGCTTTTGAATCAGTCGAACTGCAGCAAGCCTTGATTGTTGCAAGACAATGGGTGCTTCCGGCCGACGTCACTATAGCACTATAAAATTTTGCTTTGGCTGGCACTTTGGAACTGAGAGTGATTTTCCGCTTGACTGGCAAATGATAAGCACATTCAATGCGCTAGCGCAAGCTGCAGCAGGATTCTAGCTATAAGGTGTGTGACTGTGACTGTGTTTATGTTTGTTGTAAAAAAAGGAGGCTTTAAGAAATGTTTGCTGTATGTGGACGCAATTTCAATGTGATGAAAATCTTAAATGTGGACGCAATTTCAATGTGATGAAAATCTTAAATGTGATGAAATACTATGGTCGTTAAATCCAACAGATTCGTTACATTCGGGATCATTGAAGGTCGGTTCAAATGTACCTCAGAACAGCACTATTCTCAAGTTTCATACTGCCCCACTTTTCAGTTCACAAGAATTAGCTCTACGAAAATTAAATACCACGTGCAAGCACATTTTGTGGAAAAAATAGAAGCATAAGAAATAAAATTTTTTATGCCGAGTTTTTTTTCTTTCATAAGTAAAAAAAATTTGCCATATCTTATTTTAATGCCACGACAATCGTCAAAATTAGGAGATGCATCTAATACATAGGTGCCACTTTTACATCAGAAAATGCGGTAATCAGAAAAATGAAAGAGGAAGCCATGCCTGATGGTGTCCAGTAGCACAGAGAACATGTATGGGCCGGCGGTCGCAGTGGTGCGAAGTGCCAGCTGCTGAAGAGCCAACATCAACAGCACGGCCCCTACGACACAAGCTAGTCAGGTGCTCACTGCCACAAAGGAAGTCAGGAAGTGGGTCAGCCCGTGGGTTGTGCTCCAGTAGGCGCGTGTGCATATATGGTGAGTACCATCTATGAAAGGAGGACAGAATAAAATGATTTTTACCTCAATGAACAACATATGAATAACTGCGCTTCAAAGAACGAAACTTCTTATTTTAGCCCTACAGGTTGCTGTACGATTTATTGTCACAGCGAACAGGCTGTGAATGAGAAAGTAAATGCAGTACCTTTCCATTTGCTCAATAGCAGTTTATTCAATTTTTTTACCTACTTAATCATAACAAAAGACCTTGCATGCAGCTTTGCATTTTTATCAAAGCAAACTGTTTTTATGAAATTGATTCCCCATTCCACTAAACTACAACCTATTGAAGTGACTTCAAGTAACGCACATTAAAAATTGTCATGCAAAAAGTTAACTGCTAAACGTTACTGAAAAACTGTTGTGAAAGTATTTTTGAAAAATCAAGTAGCACTGCTTTGTGTACGGCAGAATATCACTGTATAAATGCACGCAAAAGCACTGGCGAAAGCCGCACGAGTCGTCTCTTCTGCCACCATAGCACAGAACTGCACTCCAAGGCATAGTTTCAATATGTTCTTCATACCATACATATTTATGAGGATTTACTATATGAGCAATTAGATGCCTGATAAGTGTATTTACAGGCTTTGTGAGTTATTTTAGATGTGGGTGTGATGATTTGATCATTTGAGCGAATTGCGAAAAGCGTGCATTGGTTTTTGTTTTTTAGACTTCCTAATGTTTCTAAACATTTCGCAGTTCATTGAAAGTCAGCAAAACAGATATCGACTGCATCATTTTCTCCTGCAACAAGGCTGAAGTGTATACAGTTAAACCTGAATATAACGAAATTGATGAAGTCTCAGAAAAATTCGTTATAAAAAGGATTTCGTTATGTGCAGGTTCGGTACAAAAATTGGGAAATTAAACACCCAAATTAAAACGAAAGGGGTACTGAGAAAGAGCTAACCCAAAACACTTATTTTACAGTAAAAAAACTGCGTTATTATTGCGATAGCAATTACATGGATACACTCGGCGGGTTTCTTCAGTCGCCGCCATGTTCCGTAACAAGTCCAAATTGATAAGATGCCCCTGCGCATTGTAACTTTCACGAGCGGGTAAAAGCGCGCGAGCGCTGCTGAAGCAGAGATCAAATCAGTCGGCCCATTCATATCACCTGGAAAGTGCATAAGATGACATCTCCCGCATGTTAGAACTGCCATCGAATGTGTTCAAACAGACAGTAAACCACCCGTGTTGAACGAGCATGAACCAACACGGCGAGGGCGGGGGGAAATCGATCGAGTAGCATTAGTGAACTTGTATTTTAAGGGTGAGCGCGATCGCTGGCACACTTGCTATCTTGGCGAGTATCAGCACGGTTTCAACGCGAAGTGACTGTGCGAAAAGAGCGCTTCTCCCTGGAGAGGCCGTATTTGCTCACACCAGCATTTTGTAGGAGTTTCGCGATATGGTTCGCGGTTGCCACCTCGCGGCGCGGCGCTAGACAGAAGTGCGTGACGAGTCGACCTCCGAATAGCCATTGTCACCGTGGTCTCGAAGAGTTTCCATCAACGCCTCATCTGACATCTCCTCGGTGACAACGACACGGCTGTCCGAAATTAAGAAAAGTCACAGTTTAGCCGCAAGGGTGAAGCGATTGATGACTGCAATAGCAACAACTTTGAATGTAACGCTAAGAACGGCAAGCAGATCGAAACATGCAACGCGCTGCTCACGCACAAATGGCGCACAAAAACAATTCACAGGACGAGAGCAAACTAATAACGTTTACCACTTGACACACTGTTTAAACAAAAACGAGGCACGAAACGTAATCACAGGTATAGATATGAGTGCAAACTAACAAGTGCCCTAGTTGTTACTTCGCTGTTTTTGAAAAGCACACTCTTTACGCAAACGGCGCCTGTCCAGCGAGGGAAGTAATCTTTGTGCACCAGGCAACTAAACGCACGCAATCATTCCAGTGAAAGTCAAAGGCGCTATTTTCCCCACCAAAGGATAAGCGCACACAGGCATCAACCTTCCGGTGGGAGGGTGGGAGATAAGCGCGCCTCGGCGCATTGTGAGGAGCGGAGTGCCGAGCGCGGGCGGCTTTTCTTTTTTTCTCGAGTTTTCATATACAGTGAATGAGGGCTGCGGCGGCGACAGCAATAAACCAGCCGGGACTTCCCGCATAAATGCTATGGTAATAAAAAAAACACGCCAGGCCTGTGTGAAAGGCGCAGCACAGTCACAGCGAAAGCTAAAAGAGTGCCTTTCAAAGCCTTTTCAGAACACTCATTGGGTATCTACAGCAAGCACACTTGCTTGATACCCCCTAGGGCATTAATAATAAACTTTTGGGCAGTAGGCCAGCATTCGCTATGCTATTTTTTTGTCATTCTTCTGAGAAGCATGGTATTCGCTAAATACTTGCAAGGAATTTCGTGCCAATTGTTCATGCAGTGGCTGACGACGATGAGGAATTATGGTTGAAGCGGGTATGCGCCAAAGTTACAAGAACAAGCTTTTGTTACGGCTTGGAGCATTGGACGGCCCACTCGTTACACTATTTGCATTGTACGACGACTGGTTGTTCTTTCGCCATTTTAAAATGCTTTACAAGTCATATTGATGTGATTGCTTTCCCGACATCTAAGGCAAGTTTGCCAACACATCCCAAACCCTGGTGTGGCTCAGTGGTAGAATACAGGGCTGGGACCCAGCGAACCCGGGTTCGAGCCCCACTGTGTCTTTGCTGCTAGTTTTTTTATTATTATTATTATTTCGCGCGATGTGGTTACGGACACCGGCGGCGGCGGACAGCTGCACAGGACCCGAGTTGTGATTTCGTAACAGCTTTCACTGTAAACAGCAAAGCTGAACATCTTCAGGGACCACACCATGCACACGCAGTGAAACTGTACGGGTGCACGGCGTCGAAAACGAAGAGTGAACGACACAAACACAGACACGGATACCGCGGAAAACTATTCGATAAGGCGTCCTTCATATGCAGGGCGGCCCCACATATGTGACGCTAACTAACAAAGTAGCTTTCTTTCTTACGCACAAAGTAGCTTTCTTTCTTACTTTTTTTTATTTTGGTTTGGAGTGGGGAGGGGGCACGCTTGCGCATGCGGCAACAACGCCAGCTCATTGGGTACAGGCCCGCCCGCCCGCCTCGCGCTCACCCACGCGCAATAACGATCGCTTGCTCTCGCCTGGTGCGCCGTGCCGCTACGCGCTTCGGCGGCGGCGGGGCAGCCGCGGAAGATGCATGCTTGTAACAAAATGCGGAGCAAAATGCCTATATTGTTCGTGGAGAAAATTCGTTATCTCAAGGTTTTCTCCCGCTGTTAATTTGTTACATAGAGGTCGCATATACATGTGCTTCTATGGAGCAACAGCAGGGAATCGAAAAACTTTGTTATATCGAGGGAATTTATTATATGAAGGTTCGTTATAAGCAGGTTGAACTGTATAAATAGCTTGAACAGCAGTAACCGAACCTGCAAGCACCGCCATCGGCATAGGTGATTCCTTCAATAGGGTAGTCCGTCCAGTCTAACAAACAGGCCTCCAGTGAGGGCCTGAAGCCAGGGAACACATCCAGGTCGGACCGACGAGCCCCACTCAGGCTACCATTTCCGCCTGTGCCATTTCCGCCTGTGCCAACCACATTGTTGCCGCTTGCACGAACTTTGCAGACCCGTTCCAATGTCTTCACATGCCACTCGCCCATCTGCATACCACAAAAACACACAGCGCAAACAAAAGTTATGAAGTCAACAATGTCCTGGTCGCACGAAAGTCCAATGCTATCAGATACCACAAAATCGTTACGCAGTGGAGAGAAATAATTCCGTCGCACGAAAGTCCAATGCTATCAGATACCACAAAATCGTTACGCAGTGGAGAGAAATAATTCCGAAATATTGAACAGGCCCCCTTTTGAACAGGGCTGCAGTCTACAGGAAAAAACTTAAATATAGCCGCATTATATGCCTCAACAAACACACCCTCCAAAATTAATGATAGAGAGAAAGAGTTGATGCTTGTGCACCAACCCTTTGTTGCGCCTTGCCACGAACGAGTCTCGCGTCTACCGCTGTTCATCTCTACGGCTTTGTATCAGAAAATACTTGCGTCATCGCAGTGGACAGACATTGCGCATGCGAATTCGATTTCCACCTCAGTGACAATGCCTGGAGATGTGATCGAGCTTTCACTTTTGACAATCAGCATGTGGACTTACAAGCTCGGAAGACGTTTTTCAGGAGAGTTGCAGTGGCTGTTCTCTCGACTGCGTATCGAAACTTTGTTTCATGCGTGCTGCCCTCAATTTAGCTCGTGAGTGCAATTTTTTCTATGCCCCATCTCAGTGTTTCTTGGGAAAGCGTCTCATGACATCATGCCACATTGCAATGCACATGCTAGGCCTAACGAACGCTAGCTGACTCGTCAGTAGTGACCCCAGACTATCAAAGCTGCAGTTTGGTGCCAAGTCAATGGCACATTTTGCAGTTGTCGCATTTAGAAGGGGCGAGTTACATATTCAATTAAAACGTGTTCATACATGTACAGTACTCATTCGATGGTTCGCGGTTGCCACCATTTTTGACATCGCATACATGCACAGAACATCGAAAGCGTGCGGAAATTCCAATTGTGATTTGATGTACAGTTTCTGCACATTGTGGTATCATGGCAAAGTCCGCATAAACAAGGACGACCAAAACGTTAGCCGGCATCTTTCCATTACGGTGCATCCCCCCCTCCCTCGCCACCTTCATTATGTCAGCACCGCAGGTCCAAAGATTAAGGGGGGACACGGGTCTTAAAAGGCCGAAAATCTCGAAAAAACCGAATTTAATGTTGACATTTTCGCAATCTGCAACAATTTTTGCACTTATCTGAGAAGTTTCAAGCTTCTCGCGTCATTATTTCTGGCACAAAATCAATTTATAACACCCCTGTGAGATGAATGAGCACAAATAGACGCTAAAGTCACACCTTTTCCACTCCGAACCGTTGCCATTACACACAAGCTATCGGGGTCATCTTGGTCTCGTTTGGAAGGGTCGTTCTTCATCTTCAATTTCCCACCCCCAGAGGTTCGCCTTGCTCATTGGTTTTTCAGCAAAAACGCGTCATCGAAAAGAACCGCGCGATTCTATTGGCTGCTTGGGGCACAGGACAAAACCTAGGCACCCGATTGACCAAGTGGCGTTCCCGGCGTCTGCTTTTTCATCGTGATGTGCACGGACATGTGCCATTTCGTCATGGTGCTGTCGACTGCTTGTCGCAGTAAAGAAGTGCCTCGCCGCACTAATTCGTGAAGCGGGTGTGGCAATCGTTCGTTCGCTGTGAACTTCAGAAAGAGCCCCGCTATCACTCAGGACAGAGAGGATAGCAAACTCGCGGCGTTCAACGGCGGTCGCCGAGTCACCGGTGTAGACATAACTCACGTACGAGCCCGTCGGTTGTCGAAAACCTCGCTGAAAGCGGCAGTGTTTTGAAGCTTCAACAGTTACAGGACGGCGAGTAAAAAAGCAGAAGTGAAGTTACGAGAGATAATGATTGATATGTGGGGTTTAACATCCCAAAACCACTATATGATTATGAGAGACGCCGTAGTGGAGGGCTCCGGAAATTTTGACCACCTGGGGTTCTTTAACGTGCACCCAAATCTGAGTACACAGGCCTACGACATTTTCGCCTCCATCGAAAATGCAGCCGCCGCAGCCAAGATTTGAACCCGCGACCTGCGGGTCAGCAGCCGAGTACCTTAGCCACTAGACCACCGCGGCAGGGCGTCATGAGCCTACTAACCTGCACAACATATTTTGAAAATTGAAACAAGGCCTGTGCAAATGCCATTATGTTTTATTAAAAAAAACTGGCAACAACTTTGAATAATAGCAGGATTTGACTTTCGACGGAATGCAAGTGATAACCTGTAAAATTTGTCATGTTTTAAAATTTACTATACTTAGAGCCTATCAGCCAGTATAACAAGCTTTTAAAATCAAAAAAATTATGCATCAATATGAAAGTAATATGTTAATTTAACTCTAAAGTGGGCCTTCGCGGCAATGCGGACTACTCATACATAGGTGTTTTCACTGCTTGGCACTCTTTCACTGCAGCGAAACCAGCTTTGAAGATAGCTACATGCATAAGAATATACGCTCAAATAGGTGCTTTCATGGCTTAGTAACCCTCCACTGCAGTGAAACCACCTTTACAAAAGGTTACATGCGGCCTAATGTACACTTATTCATTCATACCAAAAACTTCAAAATTATCAACAATTTGAATTCGAATTAAATTCCAATTAAGTAATATTCATTTGAACATTCAAAACATTTGAACATTCGCACAAGCCCACAAATTTTGATACAAAGACTAGAAAAAAACAACACCGTTACAGCTGATCGGAAGTGATGCAGACAGCAGCTTGACAGACTGACCATTGCAGGCAGATCACCTGCTCTGAACTCTGAAATATTCACCTCATGGCTACACCCCAGAGTTTACTCTTTAAATGGCAACCAAAAAACAAACAATGTAAAACATACACCGTGAAAGATGCATGATCATAAAAGCTCATTAAAGAGTATCTAAGTAACGGCTGCTTGTTTTGCGCCTACTATCTTGTCCTGCTGTCTTGGCAAACTCGTTGGTTCACAATAAATGCTGGTGCTCACTTACACTTTGGGTATCATCACTTATACTTTGGATAACCAAAAGAAAAAAAAACATCGCGAAAAACAAGAAGGGGACCGATCGTTGCAGGCAGATCACCTGCTCTGAACTCTGAAATATTCACTTCGTGGCCACACCCCAGAGTTTACTCTTTAAATGGCAACAAAAAAAACAATGTAAACATGCACCGTGAAAGATACATGATCATAAAAGCTCATTAAAGCGAGTATCTAAGTAACGGCTGCCTGTTTTGCGCCTACCATCTTGTCCTGCTGTCTTGGCAAACTCGTTGGTTCACAATAAATGATGGCGCTCACTTATACTTTGAATATCCTCACTTATACTTTGGCACTCACTTATACTTTGGATAACCAAAAGAAAAAAAAACATCGCGAAAAACAAGGGGTGGGGGGGTCCCAAACACAAGCGCTAACATTGGCGTTGAGGTCTCATAATGGCTTGGAGTAGCCAAACACACAAGGGTAGGGTTTCCCACTAAGGTGAGAGTCTTGAAGGGAGAGCGCGAATTCTCCCGAGATTTCGCAACATCAACACAACTATCAAAAAAATCAATTTCCTTCAAAACAACTCGTACATGTCTTCACTTGTGAACGGACGGGACGTCTCAGCTGGCTGCCTTGAAAGCGCGGGTCAAAGCTTTGGCTTTGCTCGCTACTAGATTCTTTGGACAGAAACGCCTAAACACTTCTAGCCTTTTTTACGTCTTTACCGCCTTTAATCTATCGCTGTGTCAGCCACATGCCCTCGAAGCTCATAGATCGGTATTGCATCGCTGAGACTATGATTTTGTGCGCGATGGTTGCGGCAAATGGTAGTTTTGTCTTCAATCCACGTGCCTTCAAAACTAACTAGTTTTATGCTATCTATGATCGCAACTGCCATAGTTTTGTCCACAGAGTGCGGAAAGCAGTGTTGCTTTGACTGGTCGAGCATTGACCCCGCGCACACTTTCGGAGCTCTGTCAGTAACGTCCTCGCCATGCATGATCAGGTCGAATGACTGCGGTTTCGTCCACAGCGGTTATTGCAACGACAACCACACGCACTGTAGAAGACATTGCATGCGCTGGTCGCACACGTACTTCCAAAGCTTCGAGCACGCTGCTTTCGATTGGGCTTTGTTCGACGGTTTTGGTACTAGTTAAATATGGCTATAACGAAATTGATAAATTCCAGCAAAAATTCGTTATAAAGAGGTTTTCGTTATATGCAGGTTCCGTAACAAAATTCTGAAAATAAATGCGCAAATTAAACAAAAGGGGGACTGAAGGCAGAGCTAATCACACACTTAATTTATAGTAAAAAACTGCATTATTATTGCGATAGCAAGTATATGGACACTCTCGGCGGGTTCTTGCTGTCGCCTCCATATTCCACAACAAGTCCAAATTGACAACATGCCCCTGCGCATTGTAACTTTCACAAGTGGTTAAAAGTGCGCGAGCAATGCTGAAGCAGAGATCAAATGAGTCGGCCTATCCCTATTGCCTGGAAAGTGCATAACATCTCCCGCGTCTTAGAACTGGCATCGAATGCTCAAACAGAAAGTAAACCACCTGTCTTAAACGAGCATGAAGCAACGTGGGGAGGGAGGGAGGTTGCTAGAGTAGCAATAATGAACTTGGTCGCGATCGCTGGCACGCTTGCTATCTCGGCGAGTATCAGTGCGGTTTCAACGCGAAGGGACTATGTTATATCCAGGAATTCATTATATGGAGGTTCGTTATAAGCAGGTTTAACTGTATAAACTTCATACCACACATCACAATTAGGAAAAGTGTTCGGAACATTCGAATTTTGGCCCAACTGACACATGAATTCGGCTGAGGAATTTCGCGAATTCGTATGTGCCGCGGTTTCGCATCACTGAGACTCTACTGTACGTTTAGATGAAAGTCTTTAATCCTTTGCGGTCCGCTGTCGGGCACTGCCCGACACGCTTTCTCCTGATTGAATTGCGCGCGCATTTTTTTTTTTTACTGTGCATGTTGCGTCACCTCTTATAAAGGGCAAGAACTGCCTTGATTTCAGCTTTTGTTTTTTTTAACCAGATGGCGCAGTTTACACGGTTGAACTCTTCGATTGTTCGAGTGGCACGCAGCTCAGATTCGGCGCCGCTTGCAGCGAAATGGCCGCCTTTTACCCGAGTGCCTTCTACGGCGGTAATTCTGAAGCTTTTAGCGAAAGCGAAGACGATTTTAGTGACGAAGACAACTATGTGGCTCCATCGGATACCGAAGAAAGTGATTCTACAGAAGCCAGCGAGGAAGAAAACGAGGACGGTAGAGACAGGTGGAAACAACCTGAACAACACAGGACCACGTGGAACCGACTGGACAGCCTACTTGGATAATTTACCAGATTTTGACCCTCTTCCCTTTACTGTCCCGAACCCGGGATCTCAAGTAAGCTCTTCCAATGTAAAGTGCGAGTTGGACTACTTTCAGTTGTTCTTCACCGACCAGCTGATTGAGCAAATAGTGCGCGAAACAAACCGCTACACCCGTGATAAAGTCTCGAGTGCCGGTGTTCTTCAGCAGTACTCGATTTGTAATGACTGGGAAGATGTGCACGTGGAAGAATTCAAAGCGTTCCTAGGGGGTTATAGTGAACATGGCCTTGAACCCCAAACCGGAGCTGAAGGAATACTTTAGCAACGACCTCCTCAAGATGCCTTTTTTCCCACACGTTTTCAAACGAAAAAGGTTTCTTCAAATATTTTGGATGCTGCATGTTGCACCAAGCCCACATACCTCTTCAGGTCCACCAACTCGTGGAAGCAAGATCAGGGATGTTGTGACCTACATAGATGCTAAATGCAGAGAGCATTTCAACGCCAGCCCCAAAATTTGCGTAGATGAAAGTACTGTCGGCTTCAAAGGCCGAGTCTCATTCAAGTGCTACAATCCCCAGAAGCCAACAAAATGGGGCATGCGCGTTTATGCGCTGGCTGACTGCCAAACAGGCTACATTTCGGCCTTTAAACCATACTACGGCAGCACAACAACTGATAGCCTCTGCCGTCCCGAGCTTCCCTTCACATGCAGGATTGTGCTCCACCTGCTGGAGAAAGTGGAGCAAGCTACACCGGGCAGTGGCTATCATCTGTATACGGACAGATTTTATACGTCCCCAATGCTTACGGAAGAGTTACTTTCGCACAGTATTTTGCTAACTGGGACTTTGATGACAAATCGAAAACAAATGCCGCAGCAGCTCAAAAAAAGATGAAAAAAGGTGAAGTGACGGCTTATCGCAGAGGAAACTCGTACATGGCACTTGCCTGGCGGGATAAGCGTCAAGTGACAATGCTAAGCTCAGCCCACAATGCGTCTACGAAAGAAGTGCCAAGGAAGATAGCTGGAGGAAAAACACTGACAGTGAAGAAGCCTGTGGTGATATGCGACTACACTGAAAAAGATGGGTGCAGTGGACAGGGCCAATCATTACTGTGCAAGTTATGCATTTTCCCGGAAGTCAAGGAAATGGTTGAGGAAGCTTTTTTTTTTTTTTTTGGCTTCTGGAAGTTTCGATAGTGAACAGCTTCATTTTGATAAGACTGCAGCTCCTGAAGCAGGGAGAGAAAGAGCAGCGACACCTCCAGTACCGGAGGAACCTGATAGAGCAGCTGGTTGGTGACGTAAGGGCTCGCGCTGAGAAGCGGGGCCCATCTGCAAGATTGGATTGCGAACAAAGGCTGGATGGAAAGCCCCATTTCATCTACAAGCTCCCTGGCCGAAGCAGCAAGGATTGCGCTGTTTGCAGTGACCGGAAAACAAAAGGGGGCAGGAGGGAAACAGCGTTCTTCTGCAAAACCTGCAGAAATAATCCCGGACTGCACCCAGGTGAGTGCTTTGAACGCTTCCACACACTGCCCAAGTATCGCTAAATAACTTGGGGACAAAAAGGAACTGACAAAATAAACAGCCGCCAAGTTAATTTCCCACAGTTGTCGTTTTCTTTCGTGGCGCCTCAAACTAGTGAAATAGTTTCGGACCGAAATGACCGGAAAGTGGGTAAAGCTTTGGGACTGCAAAGGGTTAAAGTTCATTCATAATAAAATGTGGTGGGCTCGCAAAAACGGACTGACCTGCTTTTTCATCAATGCGGCCAGATCTCGCACACAAATTTCGTCGCACACAAATTTCGATTTCCGGAAGATTTTGATGGCAACCGTACAAACAGAAGAAACTGTTGAAATCCGGAAGCCTTCCGGACAATGCGGGAGACTTGGCAGGTATATGTAATGATGATAACACCAATAAATATTGTAATCTCCTGGCGGCGAAAACGCCATTTTTGTGGCCTACACGACTGACTAAGGCAATGCGCCGTAGCCAATCGCGGAGGCCACGCTATTTTACTGATTTTATTTTTTTACTGAAAAATGAAATATGTTTCGTAAAATTTCAAGTAAGATTCCTAAAATCGTAACCGTAGTCAAAATTTGTACATTTTACGGGAAAATCAGAAGAGTTGGCAGGTATGCATTTGTTCAATTTGCATGGGCACACCGCTAGATAACCCTGTCATCTGCTAGCTGACAATTACAGCACCGATTATAAATGCGATACACGATTGCACACTTTTTCACTGTCATTATCATGGCTTACCAGGCATTTATTGTGCATTTTGATCCGATTCTGCCCAAGTCAAATTTCTTTACAGCTGGCCTTTAAGAGGATGCAAACTTGCGTCCCTGTCACATGCCCCGATAGTCTGAATGGCACAGCTGTCTCTTGGCCATGTTTTGCACACATGCAGCGTTTCAAAAATGTTGTTTTGGTCATAGTGCAATACCGCTTGTAGTTCGGATATTCGCGACTACGGCGACTTGCATTATAAGCGGTCTATGCTGTACCACATGGTGACAGCCAACTGGCCCTTCATATTTACAGCTACAGTAAGCAGGTATTACACTTATGCAAAGAAGTCCGCGAACAAATCATGTGATTGTGTGAAGCACTTTTCAAATTCCAGTAGCTTGGCTAGCTTGGCAACATACTAAGAAAAATGAGTTAGTGCGAGTTCACAGTACCACCTGGTACGGTGGTGCTGCGGGCCCCTGCTCATTGCTTTTCATTCTAAGGTGGTAAGGCATGACTAAAACTTATTTCACACTTCCTGCGCAGTGCCAGTGCACTGTGCTTAATGCACAATCGTGAAATTCACTATTTTTTTTTGATAACGCGCAGAGCAGGGCCACTGCTTTCCAAAGTAATTTCTAACCTGAACAAAGAAGGAGCGCCTATCTTGAGGTGACAGGGCTGGGTTGAGAGCAGCCAGCCTCCACAGAACAACAATCTCATCACAAAGGCTGCTGCAGGCATGCTGCGACGAGTGGGCATTGCCGTGGCCGACTGCGCGACCTCCGTGGCCATTTGATCCGGTATGCAGGGAGACCTTGGTGTTAAACCACCAGCACAGGATCTGTACAGTGAAGTGCGCAAATGAAGTGTGACACACACAAAAAAAATTGAAAAATACAGGAATGTACACATTTTACAGAGGTATTCTGCCCAGAAGAATGATAACATGATTAAGACTTCCTGACTACATCTAATTTTTCACATTTACCCTCACTAAATATTTCACATTTACCCTATGCAGGTTTTGGCCGTACATATACAGAATCATCTAACAGGCACCAAAGGGGGTTTTGCCATACATGTGCAGTAGTGCTTGTATGTTTAAAATGAGCACCTTTTTCGATCATTTCTCTTGTTTGGCATGTGCTGCCAAGCTTCGAGAACACATGGAATTATTTCTATGCACCAATGTCTCTAGATTGCTTTTTCTTTCTTTCCAAAGCAGTGCACCGAGAAAAACTTGCCCATCCGAGCGCATCCACGGTGTGGCTGGTCTAAAACACGCGCCTTTTTCGACCATTTGTTTTGCTTGGCATGTGCTGCCAATGCTTCGGGAATATTTGGAATTTTTTCCAAGCACAGATGTCTCCGTTATGTTTTTTTTTTTCCTTCCAAAGCTGCATGCTGGCTTTCACTTGTATATCCGAACACATGCATGCAGTGCAACTCGTTTTGTCCTTCGTGATGTAGTCACACCTAGCACCTGCAAAGGCTGTCTCGTTTACAATCTATAAAAGGGTGACCTCTTGTTACTCTCTCATTCATTGCTTTCCAGGGTCTAATTCATTACATGTTTGCATGCAGCACTAAATTGTTCAACAATCCAATTTCTCCATCATTCAGCAAAACCAAAGAGTGACTGACATACGTCCTCATGAGACATGATGTCCTTATGATGCGAGATTACATCGTCTACGTTGAAGGTTTTATCAGTTTATGTGAATGATTGTATGATGCCGATTAGCTCATGCACAGTGTTCATGAGGTGCGAAAAAAAAAGTATATTTTGTGGTTTCTTAGTGAATAAAGAGAGAGATAGTTCCGCGAACGTGGATGCCGTAAATTATCCTGATCTGTCAAGTGTCAGTGACGATGACTGTGTGTAAGGCTAGAAAAATTCTTGCCTTTATCATGCACCTATCCTCACCATGCAAAATGTATGTTTGTACACCTTCCTGATGTATTCGTAGCATTTTTTTTCGGTACAGTAAAAGCTCGTTAACACGGACCTCAAGGACTGGTAAAAATGTCCGAGTTAACCGAATTCCAGATTATCGAATGAACCATCAAAACAAAAGAAAGATGTACTCTGCACAGACAAATCTTTATTTCATGAAAAACTGCGTCAACTTAGTCTGCCTTGTCATCGGAATCAGTGCTAGAACTATCTTCTTCAACCCCATGTGGTGGTGCTGTGGACGCTCGCTGTCGCAAGAACAGATGCACAACTCCGCGAGGACAGCGAGAGCTTCGGTGGCCTCTTGCACGGTGCTATGTCGCGTCGGCTCATCTTGAGTGTCATCATCGGAACAGTGAGTAATTCTGATCCTCTTCAAGCACTTTCAATAATATGTCATTATCATTTGGCTAACCAACAATGGCCACACAATCATCAACAGGCACGAACACAGCCTGAGAACATAACGACAGTTTCTATGTCAAAGCACCAACTCACCCAACAGTCAACTCTTTTGGTGTACCCGAGCTGCACACACTAAACGCGAAGTCACAACGCAAATAAATCAGCAGCGTAGGCGTCGCGGGCAACTGAGGTAGCAGCGGCTGCGCAAACCGTCCTGTGCGGCGCCATGTGCGGCACATATTGCAGACACTGGATGCACCGGCGGCCCAAGCGCTTCTGCCGCCGGTTACAGCAGCAGAGCTGGGGCTTCATGCTTTCAGTAACCGGAATCTGTGAACAAAAGCATGAAGCACCGATAGCCCTCCCTAGGATCATTCATGTTAACCGGTTCAGGTCTGAATCCCTCCGAATTAAAAGGAGACGCGGGTCAAAAATCACGTTTTTTCCGGAAATTTTCACTTTTGTTTTCAGTCGTATTAGATTCTTTAAACATTAATGTTTACCAGAAATAAATTTCAATCGGTAATTCGTGTCAGAAGTTACTGAAAAATGCGCTCAAGTAAGCCCCGGAGACCTAGAAAATCGCTGAAATCTGCCGAAATCGACGTTTTCCCGGCCCCGGTATCTCGAGGCAGCGGCACCGTGCACCATTTGTAATCACTTAGGCGGGTAGAGTTGTCCCTGCTCTCTCGAAGACAGGCTCGGAAAGTCTCGTCCGGAAAGAAAAAATACTATAAAAAAGCCTTTTTTGAACGCCCCTGCGTGCCGTTTGAATCGCGCGGCGCGTCACGTGGTGCCGTAGCGAGCGCGCCATTGGCTAGCGCAGTGCCCGCTTGTCCCTTCGGCCCCGCGCTGCATCGCAAGCTGAACTTCGCAAGAATTTATTCAATTAGTTACGTGATGAATCCTGCCAGAAAGCAGGTGTACAAAGTGAAAAAGTACCGGACGATAAACAAGTATGTGGGAAAACTTCGTAAAGTGTGTCGTCAGACTGCGGCAAAGATGAACGGCCCGGAGAGGTCTAGGCCTAACCTCAGTGTTGGCAACGATCGCGACAGTGACTTCGCCGGCGGCCTCGACGCTGCCGCAAACTTCGTCAGCGCCTCACAAAAAAACTGGAGTTTTTTTAGAAAAACCAAAGGCATGCGCGTGATGGCGTATCATCAGCAGTGCTGTGCGACATCGATGCGATGACGGCACTTGTGGGCGGAGCGGAGTGCCCGTCTTGTCGTGAACACAAACTTGTTGTTTGCGAGGTGGCAGAACGGCACAAAGGACTGTCGTCCTGTCTCGAGTTGTGGTGTGAGAACAGCGAGTGCGCGTCTGGTGTTCTCTCTTCGACACATACATCGAGGCGTGTTGCCTCCGGCGAAGCCGCCACAGCATCTGACGACTGCGCGGAGGTGGGGCACTACGGCAACAGCAGCTCGCGCGATAGCTTCGCGGCTAATGTGAAAGCTGTTGTAGCCTCGCGTGCCATAGGCATCGGACATGACCAGCTTTCGCGGTTTTGTGCGATTGTTGGACTAGCGAAGCCCATACACCACAAAACCTTCCAGGCAATCAGCAAGAAGGTTCAAGATGCTGCTATGAGGGCTGTAACCGAAAATATCAACTAGGCAAGAGCCGTAACAAAGCAGGTGGTTGATGGTAGTGACGTGGCCGTAATGTATGACATAACTTGGCAGAAACGGGGCCATAAAAGCCCAAACGGAGTCTGCGCGGCTATCTCCCTAAACACCGGCCTGTGCTTAGATTTCGAAGTCCTGTCGAATTACTGCCACGCTTGCAGTCTACACAACGACATGGGCTCTGAAGAGGAAATCTGGCAGGCCTACCACAGACCTGTCTGTGAGAAGAACACCGATAGCTCCGCTCATGGCATGGAAGCTGAAGCAGCACTACGGATATGGGAGCGCACTTTGCTGTATGAGACTCCACTTCGCTTCACATTTCTTAGTGATGGCGACAGCAAAGCATATAACAGGGTTTGTGATGCCAAGATGTACGGTGCAGGTGCCATCTGCAAGGAGGACTGCACTAATCATGTTGCGAAGCGCCTAGGCACTGGCATACGCAAATTGCCGACACCACTGCCCAGAGACGAGAAGCTCAAGCCTGCCACCAATGAAAACCTGCAGACATATTATCAGATCGCCATCACGGGCAATAGAGGCAACCTACGGGACATGTACACTGCCATACGGGCGTCCTACTTTCACTCTTCCTCCACTGATGGTGCTGGCAGCCACAACGTCTGCCCACCAGGCCAAGAATCGTGGTGCAAGCACAAGCGTGCTGAAGCAATGGGCGAGCCTGCATCACAGCATACACCACTTCTGACAAAGGCACAGGGCCGGGCACTGCTGCCATATACAAGCGCCTTTCTGACGAGAAGCTGCTGGCCCGATGCCTTCGAGGGAAAACTCGGAACGCTGCTGAGTCTCTCAACAGCAAGGTGTGGCTGCTGTGCCCAAAAACAAAGTTTGGTTCCCGAAGTGCTGTGGAGACTGCCACAGCCATTGCTGTGCTCTGGTATAACCGGGGCCATGCAAGCTTCGAGGTGGTCCTGGAGGAGCTTGGTGTTCTACCAACAGCAAGCTTGACCACCCTGGGGGACTACAGTGACAAGAGGCGCATTCAGAAGATGAATGCCCAACAGACTGCTGAGGCGAGGGCTCACCGCCGCGCATCGGCCACGAGAGCTCGCCTACAGGACTCCGCTCGGAAGGACCGCGAAGGAGTTGCATACAGTGCGGGTGAATTCTAGTCACCGTGGCCAGCTCCTGGACATACTGCCTGTGCATTGAACACACTTTAGAGTGTTTGCAAGTGCACCCTAATTAGTAAACATGTTTCAAACTTTCAAACGTGTTTTTCTCATTTTGAAATTTTTGGCCACGGTCACATTTCACTCACATAGTTTCATCCCCTTAAAATTGTCCTATTGCTTTGAAACCTGGCACACACATTCTTCAAGGTGTGTAGAGTGCCGTTATCTATTCTGATTTATGATACATAGCCATTATCAATAAAAACATACCAAGACAGCTTTTTTTTCTCATAATTTTAACCTCTTAAATGCACACAGTAGTTCATGACAAGCATAATAAACTATTACACAAACATCTACACAAAAGTTTTGATGTCGAAAAAGCGAGAGTAAAAATACCTTTGTTTTGCTATTGCATGTATAATAACTTTAAAAGTAATCAGGCCACACAAAATCTGATAACAGCTTTGGAATCTACATGAAAAAATATCTCTGTAGCTAAATTTTGGAAACCCTAACTTGAAAACTAAAGAAAAAGTGTTTTCGAGTAGCGTCTCCCCTTAACGAGCATTTGATTTGATTTGTGGGGTTTAACGTCCCAAAACCACCATATGATTATGAGAGACGCCGTAGTGGAGGGCTCCGGAAATTTAGACCACCTGGGGTTCTTTAACGTGCACCCAAATCTGAGTACACGGCCTTAACGAGCATTTTACACCATTGAAATATACACAGTTTTGTCGGGAACCCACTGCATGTCCGAGTTAACCAAATAACCGAGTTAATGAGATCTGGATAAACGAGCTTTTATTGTACTACAATGCAATTATCCTCAAGAACACGAGCGTTTGTTTAACTCCCGCTTATTTGGGGCTTATTCCTAGAAGCGCCGCCATTTTATTGGTGGGGGGGGGGGGGGGGGGGCATGTTTTGGGGTGACTGTTTGCTCAGCGGTGCTTGGCAACTCTGGTCACTGAGACAGACGACGGCATCCGACGTGTTTCTTGTAAATGGGCACCTTCGACTAATGTCTGAGCATCGCATCTGTGCCAATGGTTACGCATTGAGCGTTAGTTGCATTTCATGAAGTGGACAGAACAAATCTACGCACTTTGTCTGCCTTTATCTCTCAGGAAACGCAACATTCTGACTTGCAATAGCAAATAGCTATTACAGACTGTATCCTGGCCCTACAAACCAGTGCCCGCGGAGCGGCCACTTGATTGGAATAGATAACGTTGAAATGCAAGCAGCCGCGGCCAGTAATGTAGGCTAAAATTATGCTAAAAACAAGATAAACAGGAAGTTTTCTTGCGAGTGCTCCTGGTGAATGCACAAACTGTCTCTACAGTGAAAATAAGTAAATAAATAAAAAAGCTCTTACAGTTTACTGTCCGAATCGCAAAAATGCGAACAAGCCTATGGCCTCATAATCGTTGTTGAAGTGAATTCAAAGCTATACAATTACATCATAGTTAAGGAGTAGCTTGTGTTGATGGAAAACATACACATGACAAGATACTACACTCCATTTAACACTACACTCAAACCTCATTACAACTAACTAGTATCTTACAAGAAAATAATCTTGTTATATCCAAAAATTTTTTATAAAAATTATTCCTAGCACTGTAACTATTGCAAGACTTTTTCATTTACTTTGTTATAACCGATATTTCGTCGTATCCGTGTTCAATGTATTCAGGTTTGAGTGTAACACTCTAAATATTTTGCAAAAATTGTTCAATAATTTTAACTCGCAAGAGTGTACGTAGCTTGCTTGAATAACTGATAGCCCTGAAAAAGTAACTAAATTTAAAGCAGTCAGTAAGGACACAATGAGCAGAACATCTAAGGTAGCTTAAACCTAGAAAAACATTCCTGAAATGTTTAACGTATTGAAAACTACACAAGATACGCTGCATAGTTTTTGTCGGTAGTATAAACTAGTGTAAATGTTTGCTTACTATTTCCATTAATAGGCACTGTACTATATACAAACATAAAGCAATTTCACTCAATGACAACAAAAACCATGCCCTAATCTTAATGTTAGCTACAGTTTCAGTAACGGGGAGTGAAAGCTTCTGGTTGCTTATGGTTCAAGATGCCTCCGAAATGCAATTGCACAGCCCACAACACCCTAGTCAACGCCACTAAGGAGGCAGTCACATTTTCATCTGGCCAACACACACAAGCTGCATAAAACAATGTGAACTCTAGAGTGACATCATCTCCTACTTGGTCGGTAATCCTACCCTAGGACAGCATTGCAGAGTACATGAGACCAGTATTTCTTTAGTTACACAGGAGTCAGGCTGCCAGCCTTCCGTCATCTGAGCGCTCTTGCAGCCTTCCTAAATTGTATCACCCTAAAGGTGCATGAGAAGACAGTGCACATTAGGCTATAAGCCGTCTCAGCTTGAAAAGTTTTTACATCAGCCATAAATCATCTCCAAGATCGTTTTAAGTGCTCCATAAGCACTTGAGTGTAACATGAGTAGCCACAGTTTGTTTAGCTAGAGGAGGAGGCGTGTGGTAACCTGTTGATTGATTAAGTTGAGACAAGCAAACAATGGAGGATGGTGCATGCTGATGCATTCTTGACAAATTAGAATCACGATGTAATAGAATTACGATGTAAAAGTGTAGTGTTCAAGGTTATTTTCCTTGCTCTGCAAGTAAGCCATATACTGTGCATGGCAAAGGCTATGTTGATCAATGCTTCATAGATTGATATTCGTGCACAGCAGTGCGGCATCCTAGTGACAGTCATGGTGAGTGCCTATGCAACATTACCCTCTGTTTCAGAAAAATGCTCCTATATGGACCAAGAAAAAATAAAATGCCCTGAACACACACTTCTTCCATTTCCAAGCATGCAACAAAGTCTCAATTTGAGCAATGCACGCACCTGTTCGCAGGCCAAAACTTCTTCCGTCAAGATCTGCAGAAGAGGGATGGCATTGCGATCTGAACGACGAAACATTTCACGAACAATAGACAGCAGATTCCACATGCCCTCGGGCTCCCTGCCACGAAGTGGGCGGAGTAGGCTGCACCATTCAGTGGCTGCTGGTGGTGCTGTTGAGGACAGATAGTTGACATCGCTAAACACCATCGGTGATGGGACACAAAGCTTAATAAGAATCTTTCGTATATTTTCGTGCAAGGTTCCCTCATCAAGGCACCATGTCGTCTGTTCATATGCAGATGCTCCAGCCGTCGGATCTGTGTCAGCAAAAGAAAAAGAAAAGCAGAAGTATTTAACATAGCTGAGGCTATGTTACTTAAATGACAAATGGGTCGTTGAAAGCTGTGAACCTGCCCCAAAAGGCTCAGCTATAGTTCAGCTACGTTGGTGCAAGTATTACCTTACAGATGCATAGTGTCAACTCGAGTAGCAGTAGGTGCACTAGGACAGTTTACATGTCCATTGTGATGAGCATAATTGGTTGACGTGTCTGCCGAGAAGTGAAGCATAGCAAATAATTGAGATTCAAACGCGAACAGGGCCTGGCAAAATTATCGCGATGCACGCTTAAAAATGAAATCTAAGCGTCCTCTTAGTTTATCTGATCTGCTGAAACGCATTGTAGGCAGACCTTATAAGCACACATAGGAATCTATCTAAATAATATTATTCTTTGCGAAGCGTAGTGTGCAAATTTTTGCGTTAAAAAACCAGCTACAACACTGACTTCAGGCAGCCCAGTTAGTACATGAAAACAGCGCACCAAAATGGGACTACAAAATGAAGCAAGCACAATACGCAGTGCTGTGTCTGTGTGCTTCATTTCACTGCCCCACTTTAGCATGCTATTTTTTATGCTCGACCAAGTACACTTCGTCATGTGCAACTTTTCACTGTTTGCCTATTACAATGTCTTGTATCGAATCCCGACTGAGACGGCTGCATTTTCGATAGAGGCGAAAAATGCTGTAGGACCGTGTGCCGAGGTTTAGGTGCACGTTAAGGAACCCCAGGCAGTCGAAATTACCAGAGCCTTCCACTACGGCCTCTCTCAAAATAATATCGTAGTTTTGGGACATTGAACCCTACATATCATTCAATAGTACTTATACTGTTCCTTCCTGCAATGACCCTCATCAGAATAAGCAGCCTATGTAAATAAATTATTATTCATGATGAAAGCCAAATTATCCATTACTAAGGAAGTGGAATTTTTGCAGTCATATGTAAAGGCTGATTGATGTATGGAGTTTAACGTCCCAAAACCACCATATAATTATGCGAGACGTTGCAGTGGAGGACTCTGGAAATTTCGACCATCTAGGGTTCTTTCAAGTGCACCCAAATCTGAGCACATGGGCCTACAGCATTTTCGCCTACATTTAGAATGCAGCCGCCGCAGATGGAATTTAAGAAGCTTCTCCACAATTTCCCCAAAAATGGGAAAGACACAGACAATCAAATAGCCAGTAATTTTAGTAAAGTCACACTTTTTCAAAATAAGAGATGCTCCTTTGGGCATGGCTAGAGAACTCTTAGGCTTAATATTCAATCAGTAATGTGAACTAAGATACTACATACGATAATTGCAAAGTACAATTACTCTTGACCCCCAACATTCAAAAACCTGACAATAAGAACTGTATTATATGGCGAATGTGACTCATTTTTCTCTCAGACTCCAGATAAAGCCACGAAACATATGTTTTAATACCCTTTAGTGACAATGTTTCAAACACTGCTGATGCCTTGACTGACTGCTGATGCCTGTACTGAGTCTAATGTACTTTCATAGACTACGAAAGCTATATCTAACTACAAAACTGCGCAAAAAAGCGACAGGAAACAGAGAAGGCAAACACACAAGCACAGAAAAGTAACAAATGGAAAAAAGCCCATGCAATTAGTAATATAACTTAAAGAGGACTGAACGCTCGGCTAGTTGCTAATTCTACAAAACTGTGCGAAAAAGCGACAACAGAGAAGGCACAAACACAAGTGCAGTGTGTATGCGGGAAAGAAAGCTTTATAAAGTTGTTTGCTGTTTTGAGATTTCTCGATTGATCACAAGGTTGTTATAGACTATAGAACACCTCTTTCCGAAGCCAACTTGCACTCTAGATTCAAGTCAAATGTTTCTCTTACCTTGTACAAAAATACCTACTATGTGTGCGTTTTCTCTCCTACTCTGTATAAAAGTACCTTCATACCGTGTATGTGCATGTGTATGTTTTGTAACAAACTGAAAATGAGCTGACTGGTCTATGATTCTTCACATCTTTGTACCAACTGGCCTAGCTCACTGCTTTGTTACTTCAAAGATGTAGAGTCGGCAGTACATATTTGAAAATCGTGTAACTCAGGTTGCCACCTCAGCCTTTTAGTCCTGTTAAATCAGATGTTATGAAAATACAAAAAGGCTTCTTTTATTACCAATAAGTTCTGTTAAACTAAATTATTGAAAGCAAAGTGACTTAGGGTCCTTATTCGTGTTCTCATATTCAGTACAGCTCTGCCAGCTTCAAGTTCAAGGTTCAAATGCCAGTTCAAGGTACAAAATGAGTGAGACTGATATCTCTTGGTTCCTTAGTAAGGAAAGATTCTGCAATAGTTGCTATATTGATAAAAAATAGAGTGCATTTACAAACAATAATTATAACAAATTTCGGTGAACTTACTTCCAGTGGTTAAAAAAAACTTTTTGACTGGCAAGGACCTCAGTAACAATATTTACTAAAACCAAGACATTCCTACTGGCCTTAACCTGATGTATATTAGCAAAAATACATTTAAGGGGCCCTGCAAAACTTCTCTAAGTAACCATCAAATGGCTTCAGTAAAGGAGGAGATTGCCTTACAAACCGACTGCCACAATTTTTTTTAGTTGTTAGAATCCGTCAAGTTCGAAAGAAGTTACGAGACATTTGTTGCACGCTGCAACTGCTTTCTCTCTTTTGTCCCAATGAGCGCACTGGAAGCTAAGCTGGAAAGGACTGAACAGAGAAAAAAAAAAAGAAAAGTCCTCTGCTAGCCACGTTAAGTGGTTTTTTTTTTTTTTTGAACGCTTGCTTTACTTTCAGTCTGACCGTGAGTGCGCGGGTGGACAGGACATGGCAGTCTCGGTAACTATGCAGCTCCCTATGCTCAAATCAACCAATGGCAGTGAATTTAGGCATGCGGCACAGTCATTTGGGTACATGGCATCATTTGTAGAAAGAACAGGGGACTTTGAAAATGAATTGTAAATTCCAAGCCGCATGCTGCACAACAATGTTTGGCTCAGGTGTTCTCGGGACTCTCGTCTATCGATCCGCAACATTTTCTGACCACGTTGAAAAAGTGTTGCAGGGCACCTTTAAGCAAAGAGTAGCTAAGCTGAACAGGAAATGACAACCGAGGGCATGTCAGTGTTGAAAATGTTCACCTCACAAACAAAATTCTTTGAGGTGCTACAGTTTTATATAATAAAATGTCCAACCAAATTTGGCATCCATCAGATCGCACTTTGTCAAATACCCTTCATAAAGTAATTCTGAAAATCAGAAGCATTTAATTATTTTCACTGCAATTTAGCCAAAAATATTTGCACACCTGGCAAAAAAAGTTTGTATTAGGACTGGGCTCCCTAGGGAGTGAGCATTGTTGCACCATTAATGCCCAATGCTCTTAACACTTTCCTGTCTGCGCCTATCTTCATCAACAGTATGCTGCCGATTGCTTCAATAAACATTTTCTCGCGTTCGGAGCGCTCTGGGACAACGAGCGCCATCCAGTGCATAAAAGGAGAACTCTTTCTCTAGTTTCCCTTTTGTGTTTTCTTTTTTCGCTGCGGGAGGGTTTCTTTAAAGCATGTTTTAGACGTCGTGCTGGACGAGCGCTCGTTTTGTTTCCGACATGGCGTCAACGTCGCACGTGGCTGCCCCTCGAAAACGGCAAATTTCAATGGATTCTGATGAGTCTACATCAGAATTTTGTGATCGTGGTAGCAGCGAAGACTCGGTAAATGACTGATTCATCAGACTTGAGCACAGACGGTGAAAGTGCGTAGAGTAGCCCCGGATAGTAAACAGCTCTCGCCGATTAGTTCGGTTTTTTACTCCGAACCGTTTCATCGTGGCGACAATCAGATCTAAAGACATCCAGCGTGTTCTAAAGGTCGCGGTTATCTGCAGGGTGTAAACGTCGTTTGGATGGGATCACCTGTCGGCGGCACAGAGAGTGGAGTTTTGCGTGAGAAGACGACCGGGTGTTGACCTCGGCATTGCGATCCGCAGTGCCGCACGGCGCCTCGTAAGAGCCACTATGGCTAACTTTTTTTTGTATAAAATTAACTTGTACAGATAGAAAGTTCGTATATGCAGTAATGTTGCATATAGCATTCTTCTTTAAAATGTATATTTGGAAATTTTTCAGGTTGCGTTGGTGCAAAGCATAATCCATGGTTTTATGGAGTTTTCTCGTTTTTTCTTACAAATACTTTCATAAAATTTTTTCCACAAAAAATATTTTTAAATGTTTGTTTGAAAATAATACTATTAAAACGCACAATTTTTCTGTTACAAATTGATCTATACATTATAATATAAAGCATTTAATGTAGCAGTAAAAACAAATGTTTACTGGAGCACCCAAAAATGCCTTCTTTTCCTGCTGACAGGAAAGTGTTAAATCGATGCTTTATAGTTTGAAGAAACTACTCTAGGCTGATACTGAACTAGACGTTATGCTTCCTGGCTGGGCAGAAATCGGGCACACACAAATCTTGTATCTTAGAACCCCTTCAGGCATGAATTATAACAGACAGCCTACAAATGTGTCAAATTGACACAACACAACTCCACAACACTTGATATTATATTACAAAAAGAAAAAGAGAGATCTTTTGTGAGAGTTGCAGTAATTAATCAAATTAGTATGCAATTTAATATCTAACTACTCTGAAACCAGTCATATTCCATTTATGCATAGAGAGAATTAAATGTTAGACTCGAGACACCACAGCAATTTAATTTTGATTCTGCACATTAAGAAGAAAGCGAGATAATGGCTTTGATGTTGGCCCTGGAAGGCAGCAAGTTGAAGGACCCATCGAACTTTATAAAGGCTACATAGAATTGATCAGCTGAAGTCACACACAGAACATTAGTGTTAAGTCAAGACGCACCCGACTATGCAGGAGGTTCAAGTCATGCTAAACACAATGTATCTTGCCTATTTTTTTTGGCAACTAGTCTAACGAATCGTGAAGTTATGTCCACATATATGGACATTGCGCTCGAAGGGGATTAACATTTATATTGCCTGGTGTGCATACCACATAAATGAATAGAACAGAATAAAACATTAAAAGTCAAACTTTTGTTAATAACCCTACATGCCATGAGAAAGAAGATTATTGTCATGGCGTCAGACTCCTATGAATTAGGTCTTCTATACAAAAAGAAAAACTAACCTGTTAACCTTTAGCCGACGCCAAAATAAGAAAGTGTCAGTATTATTGAATTACTAGGCTTATATTCACCAGGATTTAATACTCCTGAATATACCGAGAAGTTGCGACTTGACATCACGTTATCACAACTTGCTATTTCTAATAAGAAAATTGTAATTATGAATATGCTGCCAAAGTTAGGACATAACTTTATATGTGAACATGTTTGAGATCTGTCTAGCTGAATAAAAAATTTGAAACATTAACAACTTTGGACTCAAAGTGTTTTATTTGTAAAACACTTTGGGTTCAAATGCATTGGGTTCAAGTAGAAAAGGGGAAAAAGAAAGAGACTTAAGAGTACCGACATGATTCTGAGGCACACAAAAAAAAAACATCTTTCGTTTCTTTGGCATGCATTAACAAGACTGTCCACATACCGGAGCCCGACAACACGTATAAAATATTTTACCTCGATTTTAAAGTTTGCATGCCCTGCATCTGCTATCTAGCCCCATGAAAATGAAGACATTATCATGAAAAGTCAACACACTTCACTGGTTTAGCAAAATCTGCGTCCTGCGTGCAGCCTAAATCGCAAAAATCACTGTCATAGTCTCTGGACGTCAATTGACTCGCCGTTGTTTACGTGAATGATGTACTAATTGCAGCAAACAGGCAGCTATTGTTGGTATGTCACAAGTTGCTGTTTTCCCGTGACATCAGACCTCTTTTTGATGCAACCAAAAATAGCAGTACTACTCGCAAACCCCTGGATACCTTACCGCACCTTAGAAATTTGTCAGTAGAGCATATAATCAAAGCCAACACCATAGCTATTTGTACAGCATAGCCCTAAATATGCAATTCACTAAAGGAATGATTAAAATGAAAAAAGCTTGCAAACAGCATTACCTGGTGCTCCCCGCAATGTGTTGATGGCAGTCTTCTGACTTGAAAGCAGCTCATCCAGTAACCGCTGAGCAGTGGGAAGGATCTACAAACAAAGCATGTGAAGATGAAAGTCGACCCTGTAACACTTTTTGATAAACTAGTTAAACTAGTTACCTGTTGTGGGAGCTCACTGATAAGATACTGAGCAAACTTTTGAAGCTGATCACGATGAAGCCTTGATAGGGATTCCGACACTGGTGCCCTCAGGCAGACTTGGTTTGGCTGCAAGGTATTGCACAATCATTATGACACTCTCATCCCGACAATGTGCCTGACAAATAACTTTATAATACACAACTCTCAACTCAGTCCATTTATACAGAGCATTAAAAGTGCTGACTCAGGCTATCTATTAGAATATGGAGTCTTGAACAGCAAAATGGGCAGGACTTAAATATGAGGCCTATTTTCTATTATGCAATGATTGGTTGGTCTGTGGTGCTTAATATCCCAAAGTCACTAGAGCATTGCAGCGGAAGACTACATAATCTCACCCACCTCCGGAGATTTTTCAATGGCCACCTTAATCCCACAATACGCACGAAGCTATCATTTCACCTCCATAAAAAGTGGAACACTGCAGCCAGGACTTTTGGGTGAGCAGCCTTGCACCCTAACCACTGGGCCACTGTGGCGGTGCTACAATGCAATAAATACCATGCTTTTTCTATCGTTTTGGCATAGTAATTTTTAAGCAGTATGTTATTTTCATGCCTCATTACTTGATGGCCGCCCTTGTGATACAAATGAATCGTAGCCTAAATGATGCTTAATGCACCCAATTTGAATTGACTGCTTAAGTTAAATTGGTTTGGCTTGATAAAAGTGCCACAACAGTATGTTGAGAAAGTATACATGAAACTGTTATATGAAACTATTATTGTACTAAATCCCTCATTTATCAGAAGTCAAAATGCTTTTCTTTGTTCAGGTATTCCTTCAGAGTACAATCATCCTAACAGTCATTTTGGTGGTTTCAGAAGTGTGTTATAGTGGTTTGGACTGTTATCCTGTATATTCCACTGTTCTTAACACAACGATGGCTTTGGGTCATGGTCATCATGATGAACGCTTTTGTGATGAGTGAAGAAAACGACGACGACGGAAGTGCGGGGCAAGGCGCGTGTAATGTGCACGTGAGTGTCAGCGAATCAGCTGATGACCTGTGGTGGCCCATTGAGGTGGCGTGCCACGATTGGGCCACGTGTGACCATTACGTGGCAGTAAGCTTTGTGGCTGGGGACGAGCCGAAGCAGCGGCAGACGGGAGACAGCGGGCCGAAGCATCGGGCGCAGGCGATCCAGGTTCCGGCCAGGGAACGCGGCTGTCCACGCTACTGCCGTCCAACTACCAGCTGGAGTGACGTTGCCGGCACGAGTACTGCATCTCGGGACACGGCCTGGCCTGCTGTTCTCTTCCTTGCCGAGGACATCGCGGATCTCAGCGAGGCGTCTCTGTGGTCAGACGTTCGGCACAGCAACATACGTGGCCTGGCTAATGGTCACGGTTGCGCCGAGCATCGCGTCTCGACGCAAGCTGTTCGCTGGACGGGCTGGCCATTTACACGCATGGAGCATCGCGTCTCCGATGCGGGGTGACTGCTCCGTAGTCGCACCCACGCCATCAAGCGCTGGTGTCACCAGAGCGTCGCACATCGGCAAGGGACGAGCAAGACGTTCTGCCGGGCGAGACGCGGGCGTGTGTACGGAGGACCATGGAGCCGGGCGAGGTTCAGGGTGGCCGAGGATCCAGGTGCCAGGGGAGTTCTGGCTGAATCGAGGATCGCCGAGCGGTGCCGAGCCGTACCGAGCGACGCGCCAGACTCGGACGTGGGCCGCGAGCTCATGAGCTGCAGTGCGCACCCGAGGGTACCTGGCGGTGCCCTGGCCAAGAAGAAGGAACGTGGGAAAAAGAGCTCGAGAGTTGAGGCCACGAAGGCAGACGAAGCGGTGCGCCGCTCGAGAGGACGAGTTCCTGGCAGCGTTCCTGAGCCGGATGTGGGACCCATACGTGTCGGCCAGGTCGAACCCCGGTGTGTCTGTTCGAGGTCGAGTCCGTCAGCCTGTACAAGGTCCAAGGACGGGGCCTGCAGAACGGCTCCTGCCTGGGTGCAGTGTCCAGAAGCAGGTTCGTGGGCGAGACCTACCGGGTGTGGTCCTCGTGAGCCGTGGCCTGATTCTGGACCTCCGGAGTTGCGACCCTGACGGCTGGGTTGGCCGCGACGTCCGACTCAACGGCGCTGCACACGGTAGCGTATCCGTGCGCCGTCAGCCGTTCCACCCGTGCCATCAAATAAATTGTTCATGTTAATCTTTTCTCGTCCGCTATAAGCAAACACAGTGACGAACGCCCTTAACCATCACAGCTTTGAATGAAAAGTGTTGACAAGTCCATCCTGGTTAAACTAGCGAGCGAGCCTGACCACATAGTCAGCCTCTGTATATCCTGGTGAAAGATTCCTTTTTCAGGCACCAGACAATTGAAATGAAGCGGGTGTCTGTAATTAGAAACCAATTCCTAGAGGTATGACGTCCAAGCTTCAACCTTTGAATATTTGTTGAAAAAAAAAAACAATTTAATGACAGAGTCTGGAAGCTTAATGCAAAATGACTTAGCAGAGGTCATGCAGTGACTCCTTGCCAAAAATAAAGCAACCACGAACACTGCACTGATCAGTGTCGGCCCCAAGATAACCACCCAAGAACATGGCTCTGTGATTCTCCAAAAAGTGCTCCATGTGCAATGAACTCACTGGAAGATAACAGCATCTGAATCCAAACCGATAAAAAGGAGAAACATTTGAAGGCTCTACCTCAGACGATTAGGACAAACAAAGCAATCTCACTGCACTAAAAACAGAGGACGCTTAATGGTATCACAGAAAAACAAAAGTACTATTTTCTGTAACACCCTTGTTTTACAACAGAGGAAATATTATTCAGAGTATGCCAGTTATAAAGGACCCACATACAACAGAATTTCAGATACAATGAGTCATCATTCAGCCTAAGTTTGCTCTGTGCATTAATTAATGGAACGAAGTTCGCTTTTAATGTACTGCAATACAATGAACTATCGGCTACAATGGACAAAATTAGTGACATTTTTCTTTGAAATTGGGCACATAAAGTGTACTTTTGCCGTGTTGATGTGGGCCGACAACAAACTTAACCATGCCTCTCTATGCGCGCTAATGCCACGGTTATTTTAAATTTCGGCTGGAAACATTGGTGGCTTACGGTTAAGTCAAGCTTCCAGCCAAGCCAATCTGAAAGCACGTTCGTCACACCGATGGGTGAAGTGTTGCGACTAAAATGCAGCACGAAGTGACTGCATCATCGCTCAAAAATGCTCACCAATGTTTTATAACAACTTTCTTTTCGAGCTAAGTGTAAATAATGCATTTTTGTGTTTTGCGCGAGACATTCGTCACTCAATGCAGTAACGTTGTTAGGCATCACGACCAATGTTTTCAAAGACTAATGGACCAATGCCTCCCGAGTACGTTCTGGTGCTCCAAGCAGGCGAGTTGCACCGTCATATTAATGTAAGAAGGGCGTTGATGCTGCTCAGTACAGAACTCTCAGACCAACTTAGGACCATCCAGCTGATGCTGCATGGGAGCAACAGCTTCTAGCGGCCAATAGGCAATTCCTGTTTGCAAAAATAAGAAAATTTATTCCAAGCTCATCAAGAGAAGTGGCTGAAAAGACCTGCTAGAAGCTATTTATCGGGCTAAGCTTTGCTGCAGCGTACGAAGTATAAACGGCACTCGCTCATTTTAAACTTGTACTGCTATTTAGCTGATGGTGATCGAAGTCTTTCATAACCATGCTCTGTCGAATACATTCAGCATAGATCAGTAGAACTAGACTGGCCAATACTGCTGAGCAAAATCGATACGATCGCCACACGGTGATGCATGCACCCCCCCACCCCACCCTCTCACGTGGAGTTTGGATATTACGAACTTCAGATAATACGGACCCATTTTGCCGGATTATGATGGTCTGTTGTAATGAGAGTAGATTATATATCAATCACATTTAAGCTTGGAGGGCAATAAGCAGCCCTGCAAGCTGAAATATACCACTGACTTGACAGGTTAGATATGCTGTAGGCATTTAATTATGTGACTTAAACCATGACACAGTGTGAACCAAATGAAAAACTTTTAATCCAACTTCACAAAGAAAATACCACTATACTCCATATATCTCATCCTTTATGCAAGCCAGCTAGTAGCAACACAAACTATAATAGATGACAGTAATAACAAAAAGCACCTGAATGCCTTGCAAACAAATACAAAAGTGAAGCATGGCAACTTCCGAGATTTCACATTAACCTGTTGACAGACTTCACAAACTGAATGCCGGAGAGCTATTTAGCTTTTAGGTGTCTCTAATGTAACATTATATTACAGCCTAGTGGCAAATCAAATGAGTGCTTAAGCTATGAAAAAGAAAATTACCGACAGGTGCCCATCTAAATAAAGCCAATGTGCAGCATTTTCTTAGCAATACTTGCACAAATATCTCAAAGAGAATGAGAATAAAATTTGAATGTTTCTAGTATATTCCATGCTCTAATTCAAATAAACCATTTGGTGCTGTACACATGCTTAGCATATGTACATATGCTAAGCCCATTTTTAAAATTGTGATATCGACACTGCACTGCATAGGAGTGTATAGTGTACAAGTTTCCAGTATTTTCTTCCGATACATTTTAATTAAGGCTGTCTTGCATTATGGAGTGCAAATAAGGATTGTTGCACAAGGACAAGGATGGATGAGGAAAATTTTTCATTCACCTGGTGAATCCTGTGCAAGCAGACTGCCACCACATGGGAGCACCAGGAGGCAGCACTGCTACAAGTGCAGTTGCATGATGTGATGCGACAACGATCAAAAGTCACAGCCACGTTGTATGACCCCTTGGACACTGGCAAGCTCTGAGGAGGATGCACCGTAGCACTCAAGTGGAAGCCTGTTTATTGAAAGGGCAGAAAAAGATACCGATGAGGACAGCAGCTAGCTGAAGAGTTTTCATGTAATACATAAGTCCCAACCAATTTTGTTCATTTCACAACTGTTGAAAGCAGTGTTAGGAAGTACAGTTCAGACTACTCTGTAAGAAAAATCCAACCACTTTAGACAGATGAAATTAGTTTTTGAGAATGCTACTGGATGGATATCAATGTGTGATCTTGTGGCCATCGTTACAGTTGAAAATAAAAGCCAAAGTTGCGCTTTTAAAATTTAGCACCAAAACAATGATGGCAGTTACTCAGTGTGACAACACAGATTTCGAAACATTTTTAAAAAACTAATGATGTCAAGACTGTCACTTCTTCAAAACATAATGTAATGCACACTTACCAATAAAGAACTATATATTTGCCTTTGTAAGCACTCTTGCACCTATGTAATGATTGCAGTGCTTTAACATGCATTTAAATACAAGTACAGGAGTGTTTTTGGGTCTAGAACTATATATTTGCCTTTGTAAGCACTCTTGCACCTATGTAATGATTGCCGTGCTTTAACATGCATTTAAATACAAGTACAGGAGTGTTTTTGGGTCTGTTCGATTTGCCAGCACCACGTGAACCAGTTCATGAGGTGCTGCACTTAGCCATTCGTTTCAAAAGGTGCAGGAGAGGTGCAGAGTTGGCTCACGATTTTCCTGCACCTCCTACGCTGACGGTGCCGGCTTGGTGCAGCCACGTGTGCAGCTGATCAGACAATGCAGCACTTAGGCTTAAGTGCCGTACATGCCCCTACTCTACAAATGCGGTGTATTTTGCCAAGATGTTTGGGACTCACGAACTGTCCACATGTGCAGTTTGCCATCAGTCAGTGTTAGTTGGACGGCATAAATTAAGGGAACAGAAATAAGGCCTGCACCTTGTCGGCCCCTCGTCATTCGTTTGGGGTGTCGCATTGTGCCTGCACAGCTGAATTCACACTGTACAATTAGTGAGCTTCTCATGCACCACCATGAACCAGTTCCGACTGGTGCAGGTGAATAGACCGGACCCTTTGCATTCGCCCTACAGTGGAGAGCAGCTGTGCTTGTGGTAGCACGTTGCAGACAATGGTGGGGGCAAGAAAATATTGTTGCAGCAGCAACATTCTGTTGCTGCTGCAACAATATTCTATCACTGCCTGAGCAGCACATTGAAGAAAAAAGACATGCATGTAAACACACAAAAATATGCACACCAATTTGAAGAAGGTCCTTAGTTGCCTTAGCCTTGAAGAGGTGCTCTCCCCTTTGAAATTCTTCTGGACTTCCATTGGCCAGGCAGGAATAAAGTCTTCAAAAGAAAATAAACATTTGTCTTCGCAACTTGTATAAGTGGACAAAATAGAAATCATAGCTTAACCACATGCGCAGCAAGGAGACAATATGCTGCAGTCCCTTTTCAATATTTCACAGACAGCAGCCAACTCATTTTGGATAAAGGAATCATGAAAGAAAGAATGTTTTGAATGTGGGCAGCATTCATAATATCACAAAGAACAAATTATAGTTTCTAATTATTCATTAACCAAATTAGCTATAAAGATAGCAAATGACAAAAAATTTCTGCTCAGTACCAAGGCAAATGTGGTATACTAAATTGTCATTAAACCACACTTTTGTTTTGCATACTCTCAAGCATATGTCAAGTGTCCCATGCCATACAACACAGTAGGAGCTACATTTAAAGAAACTTCCTTAATTAGGCAAGCATTAATTACTTTGGTCCCATATATAACATGCGGAAATGCTTTTTCATCAGACAACTGATCCGAGAAACCTGAACAATTGATTCAAATGAGATTTGTTGCATTTTAAAAAAATTAACCCTTTACTGCCGGTGTCACGAATTCGAGACATTGCGAAAAAACTCCGAGCAAGCAAGCCACAAAATGTGTGCCACCTTTAATGATGGCTGTCAAGCCCTCACAGAGAATGTAGGTTTCAGCATGAAAATTCAGCGCTGTCTCATGCGAGGTACTCTATGCTAGAACCAAGTGTTGTTAACTGGCAGCAGAGAGCTTAAGCAACGTGCAACAGCTCTCACTTTTACGTCTCTTTCTCACCCGAGTGATGCAAGTTCAATCTATATATTTATAAATATTCAGTGTGTATCCACACATGTTACGTAGCTAAAGTATGTTTTTTGTTGCCAGATCCTCCCTTCTGTGGCTTGCCACAATTCTTGACATACCTAAAAGTTGTAGGCACCCAAAAAGTTGAGCACCTAAAACCCAGGGTGATACCCACAAAGTATGCATTGAAGTTGCATTTTAGATAATTAAACTTTGATATCAATTAAATGTTGCTATTTTAAAGCTGGAAAATAATATGTTTTCTTTTTTTTGGCGGTTTCATAATTCAGTCAGTAAGGGTTAAAGCGCCTAAACACACTTCTAAACAAATAATAGCATGCCTCCCTATCAGAATATGCCGATTCACAAATCTGCCAGATAAAATTTTTTAAGCACAGAGTTGGACGCAATTATTGTAAGTCCGCCTGGCTTTCACTCTCCTTTAAATTTGGAAGCATGGTGGAAGTTGCTCTTTTAAATTTGGTAGCATGGTGGAAGTTGCTAAAACTATGCTGGGAGCATGACAAGGATGGCGTATAAGTTAGTAGTCATAAGCTCTGGCATGGCTAAGCTATACAAGTCCAGTAAAAGCTGGTTAATTTGACACCTATTTATTGAGATAATTTGGGCAGCTATATTGGTCCCATCCAAAGTGCATCTTAATCTATGGGACCTTTGATGATTCATTAAAATTCAGCTCCATGCCATTTAATTTAAACAAATGCTGCCGCTACATGAAAGTCTGGTAAATCAACGCTGGCATCACAGGAGTGAATCTGAAACTTGAGTGGTATGGCTATCATCATCTACTAATGGGGCGATCTCAGAATCACCGAATGTCTGCGTCTTCTATCTTTCCTCAACTACATTAGCTCCATTGCACCTATGACGCCGTTTTCCCTTGTGTTTGTCGACGTGTTAGCCGAGTCCACTGATAATGACTGCACGACCTTCGGTGCTCTGTTTCCCACAGATGTGACCCTTCAGAACTACATCGTGATTGATGATTGTTTCGTCATGACTGGTCTCCTGACCGATCATCAAATTATTAATGATGTCACGGGCATCCAAGAAAACCATGGTTCTAATAAAGAGTCGCGCGAGAAGATGCAGCCGCGACCTGATCACACCTGACTGAAAGTTTCGAAGGCATTTTGGTATTCGAGGACGTGTGCCAGAGCACTTCCGATAATTTGCACGCTGTTGGCCATTTGGAAGAGTTAAGGAAGATTGTAATTTCAGTTGGATAAAGTGCAACAAAGCAGACGAACGTTACAAAATACTTCCCAATAAAGTTATACTTCTCCAGCTTGACCCTAATGTTTTTTTCGTTCATTTATTATTAATTCGGCATTCAGTTGATTCAGACATATTGTCAGTGACGTGAAGTCCGAATTAATGACCTTTTATTGGTATGTGGCGAGTATGGGCTTTGCCCTGAGCATGCTTTATTGACAGATTGTAGGCCCGATTGCACAAAATGAAGCCCTTCTAATTCACTAAATATGAACCAATCTCTGCCAAGCACAGCTACAAGGTGCACAGAAGAGATCTCACATGCACTGAAAAAGGTACGTGCAGTTTAGTGAATGATGGCATATAATGATGAATGCTATGGTAGCACCATGGCCTCCAAGATGGCGCGCGCACCGGGTTTCTCTCCAGTCGTCCCAATCGCCGCGCTCTCCAGCCAACAAGCATCTCTGCGCGCAACCGCCTATCGCGAGAGGGTGCATTCACTGTGGATTCTAGCGGCAGCAGAAAACGTGGCAGATAGCAGAGCACACGAGATTCCAGTGTGTGCAATTTTTTTTTCTTTTAACATAAGAGCAAGAATCATCACCGCCAGAATTTTCTGGCTGCACTGAAAACAAGTATTTTTTTTGTTACTGCATTTATTTTGGTCCAATTTACGAAGAAAAGCATGGCAGCAGCTTAATTTTCCTGATATATATCATTGTAAGTATTCGTTTGTGGCGGTATTACGTTTTTTTTTCATTACAGCCCCTTTTGTCTCGGTGCTAAATACCTTCGATTTCGGAAATATTCTAGTGATCCTCCTTTCTGGATATGTGTATGGGTGAAAACTGGGCTTATCATTGTCGTTGAATCATATTGCCCCCTTATCATGACACATTGTTTTATGATTTTATCGCGTACAGATATTTATGAGGTGGTCAATCGAAGCACAGTTACACTCTAGATAACCGAGTGCCCTTGCCATGTCACTAAGTAAAATGATAAGTAATTTTGCCAGAATATTATAGAAGGCTTCGATTAGCCAAACTAAATTTACTCCCCACGTCTTTCACAGTGAGAGTGTCGAGTTGTAATCGTCTCCCCTTTCGTCATCTGTCTTTTGGTTATGTTATGGTAACACAATGATGATATCAGTATCGTGTTCACTTACTGTACTCTTCCAAATCCAAATCCAAATCAAAGGTTCGCACATGCAGCAGAATGGAGTCTTTATGAAGAAAACCAAATATTCGTCAAGGTAGTATAATGAATTTTTATGTTTAAAATGCGTTTTTCTCAAAATGAATTTTCGGGCAACTTCTTTAGTTTGAATGTCATGTTTTTAGTACTTCTGGTAACCAGATCGGGATGAAAATTTTCTCACTTATTGCGAGTGCAATTATCCTCCTTAACATGTGTTATTGCTTATGTAAATATTACAAACTTAAAGTAAGCAATAAGCATGGACTGAGCATTTTAGTACTCACATTAACATTTTTCTTGTTAATTTAAATGTTTTATACACACTTTTATAGTTATTTGCATTCTACAGTTGATGTGGACCAATGTGAGTCATTAATAGCTCGTAATTGTAAAAGCTTAGTGGTAGGAAAAGTCTGTCCAAAAATGGGTATATTTTACACATTGTCTTAGAACAAAACAAAAACTATGCAGCCTACTATAAAACCGGTCACATATTTGAAATTGGTATAAAAACTTTTATAAACAGCAAAAATTTTATTTCATTGTCCAAGGCTACAGATAGCTTTTCTTTTTTTTTTTCTTTTTCGAGTAGTCTCTCCCCTTTATTCCTTAGAATGTTTTAGGGCCCATCTAAGCATTGCTGGTGAATAAATTTAATATATGAATTTGCAGCATACATGAAACAGTCAGGGTGTTTATTAAGGTTCCGTAGAAGTTCTACAAATAAATATGTGCTACATAGTTACGTATGACATGTCTAAATTTGTGTATTAGAAATATTAGTAGTCATGGTTTACAGAAATTTAATACTCAAAACTAGGGGTCAGACGTTCATTAAATTTTTGCTATTCTTCAAGCAATTCTTGTGAATAGCAATGGTCACCTATACGAAAAATCTGTACCTAAATGCAGCTGCTAGATTTTGAATTTTTTTCAATGCAACAAACCACATCAAAATCAATACAGTGGCCGTGAGTAAAAAAAAACCACTTGATCCCCATATAAGAATCACATTTAAGGTGATTAATATGGTTTAGCACAAAACACCGTAACAATGATGAAAGGAAAAATGGGAATTGACCAAGGGTACAGTTTCTCTCTTAGACTGCCCTAATGAAACAAATTGATCATGAAGCCAAGGAATGCATAGGTTGACCTTCATATTAACCATAATAGTTATATGAACACCACATTTTTCACTGTAATTAATACTCATACTAACGTGTCATGCAACCACACAGCCAGGCTTGAAGCAGAGTTTGCTACAATGTTCATTATGAAAGCTTTCAGCACACACACCTAAAATTGGATCGAAAACTTGACACTGAAGTACTTTTTCTTTAGCTTGAAAGCTAAATTAAAAGCTAAAACTTAAGTTTTTTCAGTGAGGAATTCCTTTATGTGCTACAGAAGGCTTGGTGCTTATAACTTAAGTTTCGAATTTTAACACGGGTTTTCTTTTTATCCCCATTACCTAATGTCTTCTTCGTTCTCAGGGAAACTCCAAAAAGCAATGCGCAGTTGTAGCTGTTCCGGGACTGGTGGATACACATGTTCAACCACTTCGAAAGGAATGTGTGCAGCAACCTCCCTAGCTGCAAGCTCCACTAAGGACAACGGCTGGCCTCCTTCAGCTGCAAGAGAACACACAGCACTATTAAGTTTCCATCATTCTTCGTCAAAGAAGGAAAGGCATTGGCAACTACAAATGCTACGTTTAACACAGGACAGCAGAAGACACCAGGACACAGTGCTGAGCCCTCACGTTTTTCATCATCCAGAGTCTTTTTTTTTTTTTTTGTGCTAAAACAAAAGATGTGCCCCACCAGTCTGTTTTCTGAAGTATTAGCAGCTCTACTCACAGACTAATATTATACAACATGTTAGATAGTTAAGGATGAAAATTTGATTACCTTTCAAGCTAATACACAGCCACCCACATATTTGAATGTTTACAAGTACAATGAACATTTTGCTTTGACAATTTGTAAAACAGCTGCAAGCAGAACTGTTGAAAATTACAGCAGTGGGAAGTCATGTCCGAGTTTTACCCAAAAGACAAAACAGTGATAGGGATAGTAATGCATCTAACAGCGGCAAAGAAGTCTGTAGTTTTAATGACCTTATTTTCTCGGTGAATATTCACTCAATTGAGGAGCACGGGGCCTGCATGTGCAGATATACACACATGGATCTCACTCTAGAGCTGCAAACAACGGCTTTTACAATGGTGACATGAACAGCACTAACTCAAGTAAGCAAACATCTTCCGTAGCTTCTTGCTTTTTTGAGACAATGCGAGTTGAAGCATTACACATGCAGAGATCCAGCATGCCAGCCAAGAAAGTCACATGATGCAACCAGCTTGCCCAGCCTTTGAAATTGATGCAGTTTGCTTGCAAGAGAGGGCACTAACCATGCCTCGGCACTATCAAACATACATGTACTTTAGATACTACCTTAATACTCTTTAGGTATTTTATAACTGTTTCATGATACCGATGGCAGGTGGGGTATCAGTATTATTTTAGACACATCATACAAAGTAACATGTATTTTACAGCACAAGATACAACTTTGGCACAATTAACCGAGTCTATGTAGAAGTTAGTGACAGTTCAACGCTAAGGTACCTGCTAAAGAGGAAAGCAACGTTTCATTAAATTGATTCTGCTAAAAGTCATGGCACCTTGGTTGTCACTGCTTACACATGTCTTCGCACCAGGATGTTGTTTCAAGTGGCAGGATTGAAGAAAAAATTAGTTTTGCCACAAGGGCAAAGCAATGAACGTGATCACAACCAATCTAAATTCCATACGAAGCAAGGCTAGCAGCCAACTTTTTTGGATCTGATCTCGCGAAACGCAACAAAGTGTGAGGTTATGTGTGTGTAGTCTCTCCAGGGACCGAAGCTGTTGTCATGGTATCCTCTAAAGGTGAAGCAAGCATTGAGGACACAGCAGGTTGGTTAGCAGTCTCCTGATGTCTGTTGAGATGGCACACGCGCCAGAGTTTATGAGCAAAGTTTAGAGTTGCTGCTCAATCGACGCATCCACTCAGAAATATGTTCCCAAGGAAAAAAACTTTGCCAGGTACAGGGAAACCTTAGACAAGTTGCAGACATTGAACAGGCTATCAACTTATAAACACGACAGACAGTTTTGTAGGGTAGGACCTCGGGCAAGACTGCCATGATCAGACTTCACAAACAATATCTGTGAAGAGTGTTCTACCCTTGCGAGTCTTTTCAAAAAAAAAAAAAGAGGATGGACAAAGCTCTTTTCAGTCCACAAGAAGACCAAGTTCCTCCCAACTTTCAACTACAAGCTTGATGGCTTTTGCTGCAGAAACCCCTTCAGATAATTTTAAATTATCGACGAAGGCCTATTATACAGCTTTGAAAGATTGACAAAGCTACTTGACTTATGTGTCAGCAACAGCTTAATGTTATTGCCATACAAGGATGAGACTGCACTGGACAGGTTGACCCGACGAACACCTAATGAACGTATGCTATGTGCAGCACAATAACGTCACACTAACAATTTCACAGAAGCCTTTTCTACTGATTGGCAACATCTTAAAACTATGTTCAAGTGTTGCAGGACCCCTTTAGTATGTTATCAATACATGCAGCATTTTTAAAAATGCTTTGTCGTAGTAAAGTGTGGGATTGGGCTAGTTGGTAATCCATATGAAACTTCTAGGCGCGTAAAACTTCAGACAACTAACATCTAACTAACATCAACTAACGTCCTTGTCTCTTATGTTAGTTGTCTGAAGTTTTACGCGCCTAGAAGTTTCATATGCTTTGTCGTAGGCCTGGTCACAAGCATACCGTGCCCCCTGGCCTTATGATGGAGAAAGACTCATGTTCACTGTTGGGCTAGTATAGTTCGTACATAGTTATTTCAAATGAAAACGGCACAAAGAATAGACCATGAGGCACACAAAGCACAGCAAAGACGTGCACCTGTTGTAAAGTACACACAAATAGGTGCAACACAGCACTAGCAAGAGACATAGCATGCCCAATATGTAAACAGCTGAAACAGCCTCTTTAAAATAAAAGTAGGGTGGGGAGGGAAGCAAGCATGAAGGTGCTGCTGATACAGTTGAATAAGATATGCAAGTGCCACCAGAAATGACCATTTATGCAATATAGCACATCTTGTGTAATACTGAACTTCACACTGCCATTTCAATATTTTGAAGAAACTGACTTGCGCAAGTCCTTCAGGGAGCTTGGCGTTTGAACAAGCAGTAGATATGCAAATGTGATTGCCACTGCTCACGAGAAGCCCCACAAGAAAAAACACCCAAACATCAGAATTAGGAAGAGATGCAACACACCTTGAATAAGCTGCCCAATATTAAGTGTAGGAAGGTTAAGAATACATACTGGGGAGACCCCACGCTAATACACTTGGCATTCGAAATTTTTTAGCTTGCCCTTTTGCGAGTGCGACTTTGATGCTCTAACATAAGCCTAGAGTCCGATATAACTTGAGAAGTCAGGGCAGGCCTCATCTGGATGACCGAAGCACCATAGCCGATCTCCGTGTAGATGTGTGCACCGGGACGCCGGCGCGCCGCCGCCGACAATTTTCGCTACGTCGCGGACGTGCCCTTTCGGAGCACCATTTAAACAGGATTTTTTTCTTTCCATTATCCTATATTTATTTTGCACCTTCTGCTAGCAGAAAATACTTTGGTCTTTCTTAATTTTTGCCCATTTCACAAATGCATCGCAATTGAACTAGAAAAAGCTTGTTAAATGCTCCCAATAATGCGGAAATGTAGCATTGGATTTAATTTAAACGTCAATTTTGAGCTACTTTCGAGCTTACTGTAGTTAAGCAAATCCCAGTCAGTGACACTGCCGAAGGTGGTGTTTGGCGAGGACTGTTGACATATTCTTGCTGATGAGTATATGTAATATGTGAGGGAGGGGGGCTTTGAACAGTGATGATGGCTGTGGAGAGCTGGTATTGGGAATAGTCATAATTATGACTGTGAAAGCGAGTCAAAGAACAAAGGCAGTTCAAATGAGAAGGGTAGGGGCTAGGAATAGGGACGGGCAGGGTAGAACGCGCTTCTATTCAATGTGTATGGAAGATATTTTTAAGCAGCGTAACTGAGGAAGAACTCGCTGTTTAGGGCATATTCAGAAAAAAAAAAATCAGTTAAACAGCAGCACATGAATGGCATTTAATGAACAAAAGAAAAAATGATACTTAATAGACAAAATGCTTTATCAAACAGTAACGATCCCCATTGTAGGGTGGCAGTTTCAGTAAGGTCGACAGTAATGAACGAGATGGTGATCGCCATAACCTAACTTCGTGCGGAATTACGCACAGAAGTTGAATGCAGGCAAAACACTGAATTGTGGGCTTGTATTTCCTACATGCTTTGCTTGGACTAGTTGAGGACTCAAACTGCAGGTGACCAATGTGGCCTCTATTTCTCGCTGAAATGAGCGCAACTAAGGCTGGGTAGGGCTTTTTGGCATAGTATGGCGCTATTTCAGCACATTTCATGGTTTTGGCACAGCTCGGCGCAGAAATGAAGATTTGTATCAGATTAGCGCAGCTGTTGCACTTCTGCACACGATGCCACTGTGCGTCTGTGCACACATTTTAAATAAACATTCAAATCATTTGTGGAGCGAAAACTTTTATTTTCAAGTTTGTTAATGTCTGATGAACGCGGGCATGAAAAGAGGGGGTTCTTTGCACAGAAAGACGTGGAAATACAGCTGCCATATCATGAGTATCAAATATACACAAGAAATAAACATATAGGCAACATTATAAGAAGACCCACAGAACAGTAAAACGGCAATAAACCACACAACTACACATGCAGTGCACAACGAAACACGGCAGTAGTTGCCACAGCACTTGACTCTGGCATGAACCGACCAAAGAAAAGTGGCTACAATCAAAGCACGAGTGAAAATTACATTCTTCTTAGCAAAGTGCCAGTCCTTAACTTCACTATTTAAAGGGTGAAAAAAAAAAGATAAATCTAGGTTTTGTTCACTAAGTATTACAGCTAGGCGGCGTTAGCTGCCGCCCAATCTAAAGGGTACAGCCATATCGATCAATCAATCCATTCATCCACGTTGGTCTTGTTGCGTGTATTCGTCCTCATTTATTTTTGTGCGGTGGCACTCTGACACCAATGGTTCTGTATGCACTCTCATGGCACACAAAAAAAAGTCATTGCTTTGTCCCGAGGTGCACTACAGGCTACAAGTCAGCTAAAAAGAAGCATGCGTTGTTGGGCGTTCCAAAAGACGAAGCTCTGTTTGCGCAGTGGGGGAGAACCATTCCACGTTCTGACAACCTGCTTCAAGAAAACTCGGCTGTGTGGGAGCTGCACTTCAAGGAGAGGTACATCTCCCGGCACTGCAAGCACACTGTGAACGGCGAAATTTTCCGCATTGAAAGGGCTTGCACAGGATTCCCGTTCGGGGGGGGGGGGGGGGTTCATTGCAGCAACCCCCCTCCCTATTAAATCAGTGTATGGGGCAGATTTTGCACCCCCTTAGACGACTTTTAGGCGACTAAAAGGGTGCCCCGCCGCCTAGTCAATATATAGAGCAGATCTTGCGCCCCCCCCCCCC